CTACTGTCATTTCGCCCTATATCATATCTTGTATACTTATTTATCCTCTTTTTCTTAAAATATGTATTACCTATAACTAAACCCCTTTCTATACAAAGTTCAATCAAAGGGTTCCCATTATCATTTACACCTGGCACCCCAAACTTACCTACCCACACCTCTCTAAAAGTTTCTCCTACTTTAGCATTCAGGTCCCCTACCACAATTACTCTCTCACTTGATTCAAAGGTTCCTATACATTCATTTAACATCTCCCAAAATCTATCTCTCTCCTCTACATTCCTCTCTTCTCCAGGTGCATACACGCTTATTATGACCTACTTTTCACATCCAACCTTTACTTTAATCCACATAATTCTTGAATTTACACATTCATATTCTCTTTTCTCCTTCCATAACTGATCCTTCAACATTACTGCTACCCCTTCCTTTGCTCTAACTCTCTCAGATACTCCAAATTTAATCCCATTTATTTCCCTCCACCGAAACTCCCCTACCCCCTTCAGCTTTGTTTCGCTTAGGGCCAGGACATCCAAATTCTTTTCATTCATAACATCAGCAATCATCTGTTTCTTGTCATCCGCACTACATCCACGCACATTTAAGCATCACAGTTTTATAAAGTTTTTCTTCTTCTCTTTTTTAGTAAATGTTTACAGGAGAAGGGGTTATATTCCTGAGGCCTCCACATCTTTCAAAAATAAAAGTGAATATGTAATTACAAATGTAACAGAAATAATAGTATTTCTTACCTTAAATTGTGGGTGCTGGTGTTTGTGGATGATTGTGAAGAGAGTGGAGAGTTATGTTGTGGTGCTACTGGGCTGAGGTGGATGGTAGAGGTACTGGTACTGAAGTTGGTGGTTGTACTGGAGTGTCTAACTTTGTCATTCAGTCAGTCAAGTCGTTCAGTAATTCAGTCAAGTCGTTCAGTAAGTCAGTCAAGTTGTTCAGTAAGTCAAGTCATTCAGTAAGTCAGTCAAGTCATTCAGCTAATCAATCAAATCATTCAGTAAGTCAGTCAGGTTATTCAGCAAGTAAGTCAAATCATTCAGTAAATCAGTCAAGTCACTCAGTAAGTCAGTCAGTCAGTCAGTCAGTCACACAAACTTATGTTTACCTTTTTTTATATGTACAAAGTAACACTTCATTATGGCCACGGGATGTCTTGTCTAATATCTTTGTTTCCTTCGTTAATTCTAAGACTTAAATATTTACACCTTTTCTTGCCACTTTGAGCAACACTGGTATGCTTACTGGGTGTCATGATTGCTTGGTAGATACAGGATATAGCAATTAAAAGATCAAAACACAATTCACAATCACAAGCTTGTAGCAGAGAAGTTGGACCGGACACGTATGAAGTACGACTACTGGGATGGTGGGGTGGTGTCGGGGGCGTGGGGGGAAGGGGGAGGGTGGTATTGTGGGATGTCTCCACGGGAAGTTTTTTTTACCTTTCCGCAAACTGAACCGTGTTAAATTCATCATACGGCGTGTTACATAAAATTGTGTCGCAATTCTTCAATCGTGCTATACTCAAATCGTGCCAAATAAACTCGTGTTAAATAACGGTCTGCTGTACTCTGGAGAAAGATGTAGTGGAGGCAGGATCTATACATAGCTTTAGGAAGAGAGATACGAGAGAGCTCATGGAGCAGGAAGAGAGTGGACCTATATCGACCAGTGAAGTGGCGGGGCCAGGAACTGTGAATCGACCGCTACAGTCAGAAATAGGTAAGAAGACGAGCGCGTAGTAACTAGTGTAACAGCCACAGCAGGGCTCCGTGAATCTTAAGTGCTTTTACGGATTATTTAGTATTTAGCAGAGGTCAGTAATCGTGACAGCGTCAGTGATGAACCCCATAAGTGAGAAACAAAGGTTCTAAAGAAAATCTGAAAGTGCAGCTCTTTGCTAGAAGTTAAGGGCAAGGCATAAGAACTAACGAGGAGTTTCAAACTATTGAGAAAGAGGAAATGATGCAAATGGATATGGACATATCGCAAGATTGGTCAAGTAAATGGATACTTAAGTCAACCCCAGTAAATTAACTGTTATGAAGTTTGGAAAAGGGTTAAGAAGACCAGACACAGAGTACATAACTGAGGGACATAGACTGTAGTCTCAACACCAGCACGCCATAAACATCTGGGTTCACAAACATCTGGATCCACAATTATCTGGATCCACAAACATCAAGATCCACAAACATCTAGATCCACAAACATCTGGATCCTTTTTCAAATCACAAAAAGCAGCATCCTAAAACAAATGCTCTGGTATTCAAATTATCACAAACATAGAAACAGAATAAAACAAATATATCACATTAGTGTTCTTGCATAAAGAAAGAAATCCACTAGTGATGGATACAAAATATGATTCTAGCCAGTAAATATTTGTGTTTAACCTCTTGAACAGAGGTGAAAGAATGTTCAGCAATGGAAGAATAATTACTGTCTTTAGTGGATCAAATTATTTTCTAAAAGTAGGTTAATGTTGAAATTCTTCAACATCAGTTTAAGAGTTTTTGTGTATCCCCGAAGGAATACCTTTAAAAGGATCCCGGATTTTTTCTCCTTTTTCGAATTCATTTTGCACATAAGTCAAGAACCTTTTAGGCAATTGACTTCAAATTTTTAATACATATGTACGGTAAGAAGATAAAATTTTAATAAGAACTGGCATATTCACGTACCCCTTGGTTAAAGTTATTTAAATAATTCTCAGCATCCCAGAATGGCTTAGATAACTTCCAAGATCTTCAGTGCGGAGCTTCAAACTTCCACAAAACATTTCAATAAATACAACGAAGGAGACTGTGAACAATTTTAAGGGAAAAATATAAGGAAAATTTTATCTCTGTTTAATCACTTTAAATAAATTTCAGTTTACCTTTTCTTAACGGCTTCAGTAATTAATGGCTGATGCATAATGGGACCAGGATAGTTCCTATTAAGTTTCGTTTATGTACAACCATAACTGGAGAATAACTCATGTGATCAGCTTCACATTTTCACCGCTGGTGAGTTGACCTGAACACAAGGATCACGTAGCCACTGGCTGCCACAAGTCCCACTCTGACAGTTTTATTGAAACTCTGACATTTATTTTTTTATTCAGCAACTTAAGAATGCTTTTTCTGATTAACCCACAAGTTTAGTTCGAACAGATGAAAATTTGAAGTTTTACTGATATAAATAAATAAAAAAAACTTGGAGTCAAGGGAATCAGATAACTTACTCGATAATGACTTTCTGATCGGCTTCAGAATTTTTACTTTTGTTAAAACACAACTTGTCACTCACTTTATGCTGTGTAAATTTCAATAAGCCAATTTTAGTAAGCATATTATTTTCCAAGTAATATTTAGTAAATGCCACTTCTAATTGGCTTCAATTCCAAAATATTGTTGTCTCATAATTACAAGTTTTTCTTTTATATAAATTTTGAGCCGTGTGGCTGCCAATTTTATAAAATTATATTTTACAGGATTATAGAGAATTATCAATAAAAACTAAATATAAACAACGTAGACAATAGGTGGGTATATATCAACCACCCAGGGAGGTACTACCGTCCAGCAGTGTGAAGCGGAAACCTGTTATTGTTTAACATGACGGTAGGATTTGTAGTGTCTTTTTTCTGTCTCGTATACCTGCGGGATACCAGGTATATCTTGCTATTTCTATTTACACTTAAGTCATTACAAATGCACGTACATGCATATATATATATATATATATATATATATATTATATATATATATATATATATATATATATATATATAATATATATATATATATATATATATATATATATATATATATATATATATATATTGGTTAAAACTGGACAATTGCAAGTACTCATTTAAAATTAAGTCCTTTCTAAAAAATTTTTTTATACGTTTAAAGATATATTTACGTTAATATAAAAATTAATAATTTTTGACCAATACAACCTTAGAAACCTTACCTAACCTTACTAAAACACGTGCAATTTAATTTAGCCTAATCCAACTTAATATATTTTAGATAAGTTTACAATAATTTAATAAACGAAAACAACTGGGACATTTGTATCTCAATATCAATGCGAACTTTGCTTTCTGGAAAACTTACTAGGTCTGATAATTTAAAGCCATTTAGTAAAGCTTTGGTTTCAAGCGATTCCTCTTTTTCACCAATTTAATATACAGACAAATTTGCTGGCGCGTAAACTAAACATAACGGGTACTATCCTGCCCATAACATGCGTCGCTCAAAAATTATTGAACAGGGCGACAGATATATACATGACGTGATTTAACGGGAGTAGAAATGTCACACATGAAATTAGGAAATATTCATACACACTTCAATATTATTCTCCGCCGTCGACGAAGTAGAAGACATGTTTCTTGAGCATCAGTAGCCAAGCAGCGGAGGTTATAGAAAGTTATCGGGCCCAATTCTAGATTCTTCAAATGAGTTCTACATCTATGGTTATGGGGCACCATCACATGTCAATAATAACATGAGTCATACCCAAGTTATCATACACCAGCGATGAAAATATAATGACGAGAATGAGACACTCATGAACGAAATAAAGTAAAATGAAAATTTAGAAAGAATTAAAAAAAAAATTCAGCCAGCCACCCAATGGTCTCTCGGGATACCTAATAAAGGTGTCCACTGTGTAGGTGAAATTTTGTGGTTTATTTAATAAGGTGTGAGTGAAATGTGTTTAATAAAGTTTCAACAACTGGAAGAAATGTCAATAGTGACGATATCCAATGTATATCCTGAATACCCTGTCGGTAAATACTTCCTACAAGGTATACTTGTACATACTGAATATACTAGGCACACGGTACATAGTATTCCAGTTCCACACATGTAAAATATATTTAAACTCAAGCAAATCATTATCACACATGATAGTTTACAACTATAAATAAAAAATCCAATGTGAAATGAAATAGTTAAAAACTTTTCATATATATGTGACAGACTTGGCGGCGGGAAGCAGTGTGGACTGGGTCTACGACAGCGCCAAGGTCCAGTACACTTACGTCATCGAAGTGCGAGACGAGGGAGATTATGGCTTTCTTCTTCCGCCAGAACAGATACTTCCCACAGCTGAGGAAACCTGGGCTGGCATTATAGCTGGCATAAACGCTATATAATTTTTGAAGTACATCCCTGAATGACATTTCTGTTAACGAAGATATACAATATTCTATGTACAAGTAAAGAACTATCTGATGGAGTTGATGCAAAACTTTGGGATATGTCAATACAATCTTTGTCTTCTCCTCCTTCAAAACATATATAAAGCCCAGTACTATCATAGTCATACGACAGCATAAGTAACAGATGACCCAAGAACCAAAAACTATCCGCTGTTCTCAGACACCGAAGTTAAACTTAAACTGTCTTTAATCTGGAATGCAAATGCTAAGTAATTCAGTGAAAGTCAGTGTTCCTCTTCGTGATGTTAATAAAGCTGAAATAAATAAACTGATAGAATTAGCTGCAAGTGGTAGCAAATGAATGGAATGATGATTGTAATTAAAATGTGAAAATCTGTTTTCCAAATGTTGGTGATCTCAGAGAAGCTGGAGTCAAAAATCATCTTGCTTGCAAGTAAGTTTTAATTCACTTTAGTGGCTCTCACTTCGCTGGTACAAGAGATCTCTTGCTGCCTGAATGAACCAATCGTCTCGATCATCAAAAACGTGAGAGCTGATGAGATGGTTATTAATGCTGAATGTGCTACTGATATTGTATTGAAAGAAACAATGGTTACTCAACTCATACAGATAGTAGATAATCTAGCTGAGTGTCGGTGCCCTGTTTAGAGTGTGCCCATTTGCAATGTTCTGGAAGACTTCTGTGGAGTCCAAGTGCAAACTTCGTATCAGAAGAATGACTTACGAGCCTGAAGCACAGTTAATGATGCTTAAAGCTACATTTCTTAACTGGTTGAGGACTCATTCTCCTTTTTTTATTTTTCAGCATTTGAAGGCATGTTTCCATCCACAACAACAAGTATTGTTACTCATCTACCAGCAAATGTGTACCATGCACATTACTGATCATGAGAGTTACATGCGTTATAAAGGAGCATAAACAGAATAGTTGCTGCAGTATAAGTTTGACATATATTAGCAAGTCCTGTAATCATGAGTAAGACTGCCAGAATCATTTTGGACCGCAACCGGAAAGAACCAGTTACATGTCAAGCAGAAATTTTTCAAGATCCCGACTGTGGTGTTGATGAGGATCTCATACTGAACAGCTCTCCTGGAAGCGTTTATTGAATGTAGAGCTGAATATTCCAGGGATAACGACGTTCTTCACGTGTTCATGCATCATACACTATATGATTTTGGTAAAAACGCTGTATGGGAGTGTTTGGAATGAATCTGGCAGCAGAAGTACATTGTTGGGTAACTTGGAAAATTCCTTGAGACTCAGCTTGAAGTCTAATTAATTCAGTGTAAGTCGGAGACTTAGCGTAGTTGCTTTTATTTTGTTCTCGAGATTTTTCTTGGTGATGATTTCCTTCTTGTAAGAGCACTTCTCTGTAAGAGTGTGATGATCACTCTTACAGTTGAGACATTTCGTTTGAAGTAGAAGTATAGTCCTTATGAGTGTCCTTCAGTGGCACAATTAGAGCAGTATTTCGTTTCCTTCAAAGGGCAGTACTTGCCAAGGTGGGTAAACGCAGAGCAGTTTGAACATTGGGTAAAGCAGTGGAGTCGCCCTGGTTCCATGTTCCTGGGATTATCGTGGCAATATGATCTGCGTAGAACTTCATCTGTTGCCTGAGATGCATTGATGATTTCGTCGAAGAACTTGATTACATAGCTGGCATTTAGAATTTTTGGGATTGAGTCGATGCCGGCCGAGTAATTTTGATCTTCATTGAGTTGTTTCAAGTCGCCTGGTGAATGGCTTCATAAAAGGCACTGATTTCTTGGCCTGAATCAGTGTTGTTTTATCCTGCCTTGTGGGAAGCAAGTCAAAATTCGTGACTCTCTAAACCACTTGACCAAACAATCCTACAAACATCATGAGTCTAGCGAACTAGGCTTCCTTCATGATGCGACGACATTAGCTTTCAGTTGTCACAACAACTTCATTCTACACATCTGATAAAAAAACATTCACAAGCAGTACATATATTATTGCAACCACGAACAAGTGATATTTAACCAATAACACACTGAAGCTAGCCAGGGGATCGAACCCATGATGTATTAGTCCGCCTCGTGGGAAGCAAGTCAAAATTCTTTTTTTGTGAACCAGTGGACCAAACAGTCCTACAAACATCATGAGCTAACAAAACGATTTGCTTCATGATGCGAGGACAGATGTTGGTGTGCTAACCTCATAGCTAATTTCATTCAACTTCCTCTTTGATATACCAGCCATCACAAGCATTGCAACCACGAACAAGTGGTATTTAAGCAAAAACACACCGCAGCTGGCCGGTGGATGCAATCCGTATTGTTTTAGGCCGTCTCGTGAGAAGCAAGTCAAATTTCACAAAGCTCTAAATCACTGAAGCAATCTTATAAACATCACGAGCCTTGAGAACTACGCTTGCTTTATGATACGAGGAAATACGTTCGTGTGGCAACCTCAGAACTAATTTCATTATACTTCTTGTTTGATATACCAGCCTTCACAAGCAGTATACATACATGTATTAATGCAACAACGAACAATTAATATTTAAGCAATGACACCAATGTAGTTTAGCCCGCCTCAAGGGAAGCAAATCAAAATTCTTATCCTCTAAACTACCTGACCAAACAAGCTTACAAACATCATGAGCCTAACGCACTAGGCTTGCTTGATGGTGCTAGGACATACGTTGGTGTGTCAACCTCAAAGCTAATTTCATTCTACTCCCCATATGAAAATGCGTGTAATTTCTGCCTCCTTGTGAGAAGCTATCTCTAGCAAGGCCTGGTGACACCGTCTCCCAAGACTCCTAACGTCTCAGTCTAAGAAGTGGCTTGTACAACACTTTCAGGAGTAAAACTGTAAACGGCAGTAAATATCAATTACAAATTACCTAATCGCTGGTCATGGGCACGCTTATTAACTATCCCTGATTTTCCCTCCCAGTAGTAGTGGCCAAGTGACTAGGGGTAAAATAAAGTAGTGTCACCAATGGATCTGGAGGCCCCTGAGGCACGTTGTTAACTGCCAGGTAACGTTGGGAAACCGTGTCAGAGTCAAGAATTAGAAACTTGTAAGGAGGTGCTCTAAGCACAATCCTTGTCCAAAGATAGCTACAAGCGTCCTCCTCCACTCTTGTTCATTGGAGGACCACTAGCAGTCTTCTTTGTATCTAAATTCTCTACTCATTTCCGCCTAAAGACTAAAACTACATATTTTAATTCTATTATTAGTTCTAACGCTAAATCTACCTAGAACGTGTAATTTATCAAATTAGTGTAAACCTATCAATAATTATGTGCTGATTCATGACTTCCACTGCATATTTTGCCAGTGGCCCTGTGGGATTTCTTGAGCTCAATAAATTCACACATCCTCCCGCCGGCGAAAGTAGATGCTGAGTCTAAATCAAGTTTGCCTCTCGCAAGCCCTCCCAGTGGGCCCTGGACACGAGCGCTGTCTGACAGGTCACACGGCTGCTCTGGTCGAGCAGACTCAGGTCTAACTTTGACCGTCCAGTCTCTACTGCATGGACCTCGAGAGGCAAGAGCTTATGGTATCAACCCGATTTATTCTCACCCTTATCACCCTCGGCCGCCTGTCCTTATCTGGGTGGACTAACACCACCAGGCCCAGTGGCCAGTATGGCCTCGATGCCTCGTTTTCTATTAGCACCACGTCCCCTTGATTCAATGTTATCTTTTTCCCTTTGGGTCAGCCGTGTAAAAGTGCTCTTGTAAAGCTGTCAAATAATCACTACGCCACATTTGGTTCCATTGGTCCAGCATGTTCACTAACTTATCATAACTCTTGCAGGTGGGGAGGTCCTTCTGACCCACGATAGTCCTGCTCCCAGTAGGATCGGCTCAAGATAGCCAGCATAGGCTCGACCCTCCTTCTGAATAGCATGTGATAAGGGGTGAGAGCCTTCTCGCCTTATTTTGGCCAAGACTGTCAGCATTTATTCGGTATTCTCCCTCTTATCATGCAAGACCTTTCGAATGCATCCTTTATCTCTGCCCACCATGTGCTCTTAGAAGCCCCCCTTGCCAAGGTGCTCTAAGAGCTATAAACTTTCACTCACACTCTACCTTCTTCAAGTGTGCATGCACCTCCCCCGCATCCAGAAAGTTTCTATAGACTTTGTCAGCTGCTGTGAAGTTTGTTCGATTCTCAGATGTAACCAATCATTGGCAAGAAAACTGGTCTGCAAACCTTCTGAACGGCTTTACGAAAGTGTCAGTTGACATATCTTCCGCCAACTCCAAATGTATGGCTCAGGTAGTTGCACAAGTAAACAGGCAGACATACACATTCTGCGGGCCTACCCCTCCTCCTCTAGTCTGTACCTACAGTCTCAAATGGCCTGTCATTCTGCACCCGCTCGTGGGAAAGCCGTGGTCGCCCAGGATATTGTAAGGTCCTCTCATCTCACCGATGGTAGATGGTGCAATTCCTGATCACCTTCTTGACAGCGGCTTGGTCTTTAAGAACCCAGTAATTCTGATGAATGCAGGTAAGGATATCTCCAAACCCACCATGCATAGTTCTCTGGTGAGCATAGTGTATCACCAGTTCTGCGTACCACACATCCTTTTCCAGTAACACTGGTGTTTGGCTGCATAACTGAGATTAACGTTTTGTCATCTTCCTCTACATCTTAGTAGCCTGCATGATCTAGGAACAACCCCAACGAGTGTATCAGTTTATGATTCCCCGAATCACTGATCGACCCAAGACCAGATGTTTCGTCCATTTATTGAGTCGCCAGTACCTCCAGGGCTCCTGGAAATCTTCCCCTTTGGTACTGCTGGATCCATTACTCTCTAGGACCAGAGATCGATAACTGGCATCCTAGGCCTACCTTGTCATTCAGATTTTTCACGAATTGGAACACTATTTCTGTGACTCCGAATAGTTCCCTCAATAAGGAGTAGTGTTTGGGTTCAAACAACTCATGCCTGTTTCCCCCACAAAATGTACCGTGCAGCTGGTTACCTCTTCGAACTTCTGATCTGACCAGTCCTCCTTCACTGGCAACCAGCCCGGGCTCTCTCTCGGGCAGTTTTTTGTGTGTCACCTCTCTGCTGATCAGGTCAGCTGGGCTCTGTCCGTTGGCACGTGTAAAATTGTAGATACTGACTGCAGTTCCTGTATTTCCTTCAACCGATTACTAACATAGGGCAGTTTAACCTTGTCATTTTTGACCCACTGTAAGGCCACTTCCGAGTCCGTCCATATGTACGTGAATATTAAAATGGTATAAACTACCGACAGGATGTTAGGTAAGACACAATAGGCTTCTTCAGTCGAGAACAGAGGATTTGGTAGAAGCAGGAGACATGTGAAGACAATGTAATCAGTCCACCACATTTGAAGATCTAGTTTTGAGGTGGTCAGTCCCTCAGTTCCATAGTCTGAAAGAATGTGAAGTTGACGTGACAGTACGGAGCCTTACATACTGTCAGGAGGTGAGATGTAGGCCACTAGTAGAAGAAATAATGTAATCATTGAGAGGTAATATCTGGCTCTGCCAGCCTCACGCCTAATTCCTTCAAACGTTTGACTACTGCAGCCAGACCTTTGGTGGTAATGATCTCATGTAATTTCTTCACTCTCAAGGCCGTGACCTGTCTGCAATATCCGCCCAAGTTGACAGCGACATCTACGTGATAAGTCCTGGGTGGGACTGGGCCTCCGTACCCTTCCAAAAGTCATGCTAACCTTGCTGATAGTTCTTTATTTCAACGTAACTGTTAGCGCCTCTTTTATCAAGGAGTTTTGTGCCCCCACGTCGAAAATCAGTCGGGTTGTCTCGGACCTCTTCCTGTTCACAACCACTGCCACGACGATGGCTATAGCTACAGACCCTTGGAATCTCCCACTAGGACTAGACCCCCTTATCATGTTCACCACACTGGCTACCACTTCGGGTGTGGGTTTACTCTCCACCGTTTCCTGAACTGTGCTCCCGTTGGCCTTAGCTTGCCTCGTCTCATTTGGACAATGCGATATGGTGCTTGCCTTTTCGACAGTCATTACACTCATTGAGTTGAACGTTGCAATCCCTGGCAAAGTGTTTCCCACAACACTTAAAACAGTGTCGCAACTCCTTTATCCGTTACAGCCTTTGGTCGCAGGCGGCATTGCCCGAACACCCTCAATTAGCGTGCTCACCTTTGCAGAATGCACACTGTCTTGTATTGATAGCCTTGGTGACTCCTCCTTTGGGCTCATTATCTGGGGACTTATTTTGGGCATAATAAGTACCGACCCTAGTAGGGTGTGCATTAGACCTATCTTCCGAGTGCCTGCAGTGATTGTTAGATTTCCCTTTGGTGGGTAGTTTCTCGCCCTTACCTATGCTTATTTGAGAGACAAAATTTACCCAGTTTTCAATGATTTGTTTTACTGTAAACCGGTTCGTCCGGTATCTCAAGTGTAACTCATGTACTGTGGTGCTAACCAGCTTCCTTTGAAATGTCTGGCTAACGAGCCATTCTGTCTTACCTCAGTCATATAAATCTTTGAGTCTGTTTGTCAGATTCATAACCTCAATGTGGAACATCTCTAGGCTACGACTGTCGTGTCGGCAAGCCTCTAAATCCAACAGCCGATACCATACAGCTATCTTATTTTGTTTCCAAACATGTCCTTTAATTGACTCTTGGCATGTTGGTAATTAGCATCAGTAGTCTGCATCAGTACTGAGCATCAGTAGTGTCAGACTGAATCTAATGCTTTGCCCTTAAGCTGTGACCGTATGTACTGTAATTTGACTACGTCCGACAAATCATTTCTGTCGTCTCTGAGCTTCAAAACTGATCCCATAACGCAATGTACTCTGTCAAGGTACCATCATATGTTGGAAAATTTAAATGAAGAAACTGGAGTGTGGCTGCTTGTACTCCTAGCAGTATTAGTCACTGTATCTGCCATATTAGTCTTTAATGTTTTCATTAGCAGCATGTATCGTCTCATCTCTGACTTAGCGACTTCGAGCTACCTCAGCAGTGTCCTCAGACTTATCTACATTATTGGCCACTGACTTAAAGAAGATACGCCCCCTGGAAGGCCTTTAACCGTTCCTCTAAAAGTTTCAAGCAGCTTTCTAGATCATGACAATCTACATCCACTTCTTGTCTGATCTCTTGGCACTCATCACGTGCCTTGTTTAAGCGTCCCTTACGGAGTGCCATAGACCACTTTAGCTTAATTACAGGTGAGACGGTTGGTACTTGATTGTCTTCCTTCATTGTCTTGGGTTAGGAAAGAGTGAGGCACTAATTCGTGCTTTTACTTGTGACAGTATACATTTATCGTTGTTAAGTGAGCTTAACCTAGCGCAAATCACAGTACTGCATTAGTACAACAATAAAGTTTACCCAACATAAAAATGCAGTCATTGCAAGATTAAATTTCATTGGGTCGGGCACAATAAATTTAGCAATTTCACTTATCAAACAGCAATACGTAAATGTTGTGTAACTTGTCTAATTCGCTGTAAATATTAACTACGCTAAATCTTTCCTAGCTGTTAGTTAGCGTAGGCATTTGCAAATATTGCAAATATCTAAGCTAACTTTGGCTACTTTGCAAATTCACTAAAAATAATTAAATTTACAACCTTATTTTTGCCTACTTCTTTCTGGCTTACTTGTAAATCGCTGTAAAGACTCAAATTTACAAGCTTAATTTTGCCTACTTCTGGCTTGCTTGTAACACTGTAAACAATTAAATGTACAAGCTTTTTTTGCCTACTTCTGGCTTGCCTGTAAACCACTGTAAATAATTAAATTTACAAGCTCAACTAGCCTACTATTGGCCTGCCTGTAAACCACTGTATATAATTAAATTCTGTGAGCAGGTAGTCCTAGCCTAGCCAAACTTTTGTAAGTCTCTGTCCATAAGCTGTGAGCTAACTTTACCTTTGTAAACACTGGTATGTAACTGTGGCCTTGCTATGTTAAGACTAATCTGTCTGATAAGCTAACTATTTCTCCAGTGTCGGTTAGAAGGACCATGTGAAAATGTTTGTAATGTCTGCCTACTTGCGAGAAGCTCTCTCTAGCATGTACTTTTGACACCGTCCCCCGACACTCCTAACACCTATGTCTCACAAGTGACTTGTACAACACTTTCACTAGCAAAACTGTAAACTGTAGTAAATATCAATTACAAATTACCTGATCGTTAGTCATGGGCACGCTTATTAAAAGGACGTTATCTATCCCTGATTTTCCCACCCAGTCTTAGTGGCCACGTGACTAGGGGTAAAATATGGTAGTGTCACCAACGTATTTGGCGCAGAGACCCCTATCCACGAATCATTGTAAGGCCTCTGAAGTACGTTGTTAACTGCCAGGTAACGTTGGGAAAAGGTGTGGGACTCAAGAGATCGAAACTAGGAGGTGCTCTCAGCACGGTCCTTGTCCAAAGATGACTACCAACGTACCTGCTAGGTGTCTCTACGTATCTAGTTTTCTCTTATCAAATATCTGTACTAATGTAAACTTATTAAAACCTAAAACTACATTTTTATAATTATGTTATTAGTTCCTAATTCCACCTAAAACCTGTAATCTATCAAATTAGTGTAAACCTATCAATAATAATGTGCTGCTTCATAATTTCCGTTACTTGTTTATGAGCGTGGAGTCTGAAGGTCTCCACTGAATGTTACAGTGAACCTGAGGGATTTCTTGAACTCAATAAATTACCACAAAATATTTTATTTAGCGTTTTTTTAGGAAAGTTCAGTTTGATAATAAAAGTATATATGATTGGAGAACTGGCATAGAAAATGCCCAACTTCAATACAAATTAACTTCCAATAAAGTTAATCAACTTTTAAGTGTTTGAAGCCGACCAGATGAACCATTCTCTAGCTATCACGCAGAACCCAATAATTTTATTAAATATGGTTCTTTAAGATTTAAATTGCTCAAAGTGAAAGCTAAGTTTCTTTTAATATAGCTCAACACAAAAAGTTTGAAGCCTATCAGAAGAGGCATTCTCCAGAAAATGCTCTAAATGAAATGATTGAAAGATTGTTTTTACAAATTTCAATAAACTTTCAAATTTGCACTAAACCAGACTAAACGTATAGTGTCATTATTCTTATTAGTTGCATCATAATAAGCCGGAAAGACACGGCATTCTTTAATTATTGAGTGGAAATCAATATTAATATTTATTTAATGAAATTTCCAAATTTGGATTTATGGAGACCAATAATAACACTAACATTGCTTTCTGGATAACACACTAATACTGACATTTTAAAGTCTTTCAAGAGAGGCTTTATGCAGTTATCCAGTTAGTACATTAACAAATTTATAACATATACTGTCATGGCCGTAAGATGCATTAGCAATTAAATATTGAAACTACTCACAAGAGGTAGTCTCAAATATATTTAACGTGATTAAACGGGAATCAAAATTTCAGATTATTGATAAGAGAAAACTAGATACGTAGAGACACCTAGCAGGTACGTTGGTAGTGATGTCCTGGTAGTCAGTAAATGTGGGGCTGATAGTGCTGTCCTGGGAGACAGTAATGGTGAAGCTGGAGGTGCTGTCCTGGGAGACAGTAATGGTGAAGCTGGAGGTGCTGTCCTGGGAGACAGTAATGGTGAAGCTGGAGGTGTCCTGGGAGACAGTAATGGTGAAGCTGGAGGTGCTGTCCTGGGAGACAGAAATGGTGAAGCTGGAGATACTGTCCTGGGAGACAGAAATGGTGAAGCTGGAGGTGCTGTCCTGGGAGACAGAAATGGTGAAGCTGGAGATACTGTCCTGGGAGACAGTAATGGTGAAGCTGGGGTGCTGTCCTGGGAGAAAAGAAATGGTGAAGCTGGAGATTTCTGTCCTGGGAGACAGAAATGGTGAAGCTGGAGATATTGTCCAGGGGTCGGGAATTATACGCAGGAAGGAATAACATATAAAGACCTCATAGGGACAGGAGCCATAAATAGGGGAAACAAGTGTAGTCAAAGATAAGATAAACCAATATTGCAAACTAGAAATACCGCAGGAAATAGCAAACAAGAGGACTCCAATAGCAATAGTGAGGATAAATTACCAAAAACAAACTGGTGGGAGCTCCATTGTTGGTGCTAGGGAGGATAGAAGTAAGACAGGGAAACATGCACCAACAGGGAATACAGTCACAGAAACCCAAGGCAAGCGGAAACCAAGCCTGTGCACATACTATGCACTTGGTATCTGCTGGCATGGGAAATCGGAAAAACAGATGGGACATGCAACTATGACCACCCTAGAAAATGCCATGCCCATATGAAAACAGGAAAATGCAAACTCCCTTCCTGTAAGCTTTTTCACCCTGAAATGTGTACCTCTTCAGTACAGGAAAGACTGTGCTATAACTTAAATTGCCAGGCATACCATCTAAAGGGGACAAAAAGATACAAAACATCCAGGCCAGGGGAAAACCTGGGTAGCCACAGCCACTCAAGAGGGAGAGGTTTTTTAGTGCCAGGAAGGAAAAAAACTGGCAGGAAATGGCAGAAATCGTACACCAAATCCAGTCATTCCTGGAGTGGAAAACCACAGTCGATGGCCCTCCACTCCAAACCAACAGATACAGATACTAATGCCGGAAAAAAAACCCCCCCCCAGTACCAACAATACCACCAGTCCGATAACATTCTTCTTTGCAAATATACAGGGTCTAAAGCCAGCTACAAACAACAAAATACCTTTCATCCGTGGACTGCTTGCAGAGGCAAAGGCAATGTTCGCGGCTTTCACTGAGACCCACATAAAGGATCACTTGGACAACGAAGTATGGATCCCAGGTTACAACCTATACAGATGTGACAGAGTGAACAGGCAAAAGGGGGGGGTTGGCCTGTACATTGCAGAGTCACTTGTTTGCACAGAAACTGCTTAATGCCTCAAATGACGTAGTGGAAGTTTTAGCAGTAAGGTCGAGAACCAAAACTAGTCATTGTGGTAGTCTACAAGCCTCCGGATGCAACATCCAGCAATTCCAGGAACAGCTGTTAAAAATTGACCACTGTCTGGAAAATCTTCCAGCTCCTGCACCCAACAATCTTGCTCCTGGGGGATTTCAACTTAAGGCACCTAAAATGGAGGAATATAGCAAATAATATTGTTGCAGAAATAACACCAGGAGGCAGCTCTGATGAAAACTCACACTCACACGAGCTTTTAAATCTCTGCACAAAATTCAATTTAAACCAGCAAATAATAGAGCCTACAAGACTGGAGAATACACTAGACCTCATCTTCACTAACAATGATGATCTGATAAGAAATGTCACCATATACAAAACAATATACTCAGATCACAACATAATTGAGGTTCAGACATGTATGCATGGAGCCCCAGACCGACAAAATGAGACTAGTCATGAGGAGCATTCACCAAATTCAACTTCAATAACAAAAACATAAAGTGGGACCAAGTAAACCAAGTCCTAACCGATATAAGCTGGGAAGATATACTAAGCAACACAGACCCAAACTTATGCCTAGAACAGATTAACTCGGTGGCACTCGATGTATGCACAAGGCTTATTCTCTAAGAAAAAAGGAGGAGTAGATGTAAATAGAAAGAGACAGGCGTCCCTTTACAGGCGACGGAAAAGAATAACAGAGCGGCTAAAAGAGGTCAATATATCTGAAATGCGCAGGGAGAACACTGGTCAGAGAAATAGCAAGCTCGAACTTAAGCTAAAAGAATCCTTTAGGAGTCAGGAATCGCGGGAAGAACTAAAAGCCATAAATGAAATCGAAAGAAACCCAAAGTATTTCTTCTCCTATGCCAAATCAAAATCGGAACAACGTCCAGTATTGGGCCCCTACTTAAACAAGATGGGTCCTACACAGATGACAGCAAGGAATGAGTGAGCTACTCAAGTCCCAATATGACTCAGTTTTTTAGCAAGCCGCTAACCAGACTGAGAGTCGAAGACCAAAATGAATTTTTTATGAGAGAGCCACAAAATTTGACTAACACAAGCCTATCCGATGTTATTCCTGACGCCAAATGACTTCGAACAGGCGATAAATGACATGCCCATGCACTCTGCCCCAGGGCCAGACTCATGGAACTCTGTGTTCATCAAGAACTGCAAGAAGCCCCTATCACGAGCCTTTTCCATCCTATGGAGAGGGAGCATGGACACGGGGGTCGTCCCTCAGTTACTAAAAACAACAGACATAGCCCCACTCCACAAAGGGGGCAGTAAAGCAACAGCAAAGAACTACAGACCAATAGCACTAACATCCCATATCATAAAAATCTTTGAAAGGGTCCTAAGAAGCAAGATCACCACCCATCTAGAAACCCATCAGTTACACAACCCAGGGCAACATGGGTTTAGAACAGGTCGCTCCTGTCTGTCTCAACTACTGGATCACTACGACAAGGTCCTAAATGCACTAGAAGACAAAAAGAATGCAGATGTAATATATACAGACTTTGCAAAAGCCTTCGACAAGTGTGACCATGGCGTAATAGCGCACAAAATGCGCGCTAAAGGAATAACAGGAAAAGTCGGTCGATGGATCTATAATTTCCTCACTAACAGAACACAGAGAGTAGTCGTCAACAGAGTAAAGTCCGAGGCAGCTACGGTGACAAGCTCTGTCCCACAAGGCACAGTACTAGCTCCCATCTTGTTCCTCATCCTCATATCCGACATAGACAAGGATGTCAGCCACAGCACCGTGTCTTCCTTTGCAGATGACACCCGAATCTGCATGACAGTGTCTTCCATTGCAGACACTGCAAGGCTCCAGGCGGACATCAACCAAATCTTTCAGTGGGCTGCAGAAAACAATATGAAGTTCAACGATGAGAAATTTCAATTACTCAGATATGGTAAACATGAGGAAATTAAATCTTCATCAGAGTACAAAACAAATTCTGGCCACAAAATAGAGCGAAACACCAACGTCAAAGACCTAGGAGTGATTATGTCGGAGGATCTCACCTTCAAGGACCATAACATTGTATCAATCGCATCTGCTAGAAAAATGACAGGATGGATAATGAGAACCTTCAAAATTAGGGAGGCCAAGCCCATGATGACACTCTTCAGGTCACTTGTTCTATCTAGGCTGGAATATTGCTGCACTCTAACAGCACCTTTCAAGGCAGGTGAAATTGCCGACCTAGAAAATGTACAGAGAACTTTCACGGCGCGCATAACGGAGATAAAACACCTCAATTACTGGGAGCGCTTGAGGTTTCTAAACCTGTATTCCCTGGAACGCAGGAGGGAGAGATACATGATTATATACACCTGGAAAATCCAAGAGGGACTAGTACCAAACTTACACACGAAAATCACTCACTACGAAAGCAAAAGACTTGGCAGACGATGCACCATCCCCCCAATGAAAAGCAGGGGTGTCACTAGCACGTTAAGAGACCATACAATAAGTGTCAGGGGCCCGAGACTGTTCAACTGCCTCCCAGCACACATAAGGGGGATTACCAACAGACCCCTGGCAGTCTTCAAGCTGGCACTGGACAAGCACCTAAAGACAGTTCCTGATCAGCCGGGCTGTGGCTCGTACGTTGGTTTGCGTGCAGCCAGCAGCAACAGCCTGGTTGATCAGGCGCTGATCCACCAGGAGGCCTGGTCACAGACCGGGCCGCGGGGGCGTTGACCCCCGAAACTCTCTCCAGGTAAACTCCAGGTAAACTCCAGGCATAAAGAATGGCAGAAGTTCACCTACACCATGAAATTTCACTTTCCATTGTCGTCGAATTAGTAGACAACGTCTTAGAACGTTTGATTTTGCATTACAGAGTAGCCATTCCAGGATACTGTGACCAGGTTTTACAGTTCTTGTCAAGCGATACCTGCACATACCTATTGTTCCAAGAACCTGGACCTAGTTTTCTACACCATTGTTAAAAATGTGAGCACGATCGAATGAGTCTTTCTCGTGTTAAAAGCAAAATAAAAACGAAAAGTTAGACGAAGGAAAAATGTATGATAGTCAAGGATATTCAAAAAGTCGATATTCAAGGATACCTTATAACATAGACTGCTTTAAACTTTCTACTGCTGCGACACTTAAAGACATTTATACTTCGTGTCAAGAAACTTGGCAGTATAAGTATTGTAGGTTAACTACATCTAAAAAGAGAAGGACGCGAGTCCATACTGACCTGGTTATAGATCTGCTGCACCAGATCATTTCTCCTGAAGTAGAATTCAGGTTATTCTTTAAAGAAATCATCAACCACAGGCTGACTAAGACAGACCAAGCCGCCCTTAGCTGACGAACGAAGGACTCTCCTCCCGAGAATGACCCACATGGGTTTAGTGCTGCAAGAAAAGCAATACATTCATCTTAATTATTGAACGATGCCTTAAACTTATCAACCTTTCCTTCAAACAGCTCCTTGCATGTATAAAATACAAAATGTGGTTATGTACTGATCTCTACGTAGAAAAATAGCGAAGAAATGTGTTGCTGACTTAATGAAAGCAGCACAGAACCTACCCCAGAGCAGCTGAGTGGTAGGAGACAACCAGGAGATGAGACGGAAAATGATGTAAGGCCCGAGGGTAAACAGAGAAATGAGACATAAAACACAATGAAACTGAGAGTGGAAGACGCCTTCAAAGTGGTACAGAAAGTGGAGGTAGACACGAGAGAGAAAGAGTGGAGACAAGCAGGAGAGTGGAACAAAGAGTAGAGAGCCAGGAGTGTGAGACAGAGAGCGGAGCCAGACATGGGAGTGGAGGTAAAGAGTAGACCAACCACGAGAATGAAGATAGAGAGTAGACCAATAGCAAGAATGGAAGCAAAGAAGAGAGTGAGGGGATAGTGTGGAGGCAGATAAAAGAGTGAGGCAAAGAGTGAGGCAGAGAGTGAAGGCAGAAAGGGAGTGAAACAGAGAGACAAGGCAGAAAAAGGAGTGAGACAGAGAGTGAAGGCAGAAAAGGGAGTGAGACAGAGAGAGAAGGTAACCAAGACAGAGAGTGAAGGCAGACAAGAGAGGGACACAGAGAAGGTAAACAAGAGATGGAGAGAGTGAAAGTAGATAAGAGAGGGAGACAGACAGTGAAGGTAAACAAGAGATGGAGACAGTGAAAGTAAACAAGAGATGGAGGTAGTGAAGGTAAACAAGAGATGGATACAGTGAAGGTAAACAAGAGAGGAAGATAGGCAGTGAAGGTAGAGATGAAATGGAGATTAAGTGCTTCCTTTAAACTAGCAAATAATTTATGTTTATTGGAAATTATATTATGTTATGCTACGTTAAGTTAGGTTAGGTTAGGTTAGGTTAGGTCCGGTTACGCTAGATTAGTTTGGTTTAGGTTAGATTAGGTTAGGTTCGGTTAGGATATGTTTGATCAGGTTTGATTAGGGTAAATTTTTGGTTTGGGTAGGTTAGGTTAGATCACGTTAAGTAAGGTTAAGTTATATCTGTATTTGGTAGGTTTATGTTTGATTAGGTTAGATTAAATTAGGTTAGGTATGATTAATTAACATTTAGAAAGATTAAATTAGGTTTGGTTAGTTTAGGTAACGTTAGGGTAAGTTTTGTTAGCTAAGGTGTGGTTAAACTATGTTAGCCTATTAGATAATTTTAGATTAGGTTAGTTGGGATAGACAATCCAATGAAAACATATTTAGAATTGAGAACGATAAAATTGTCAAGTGGGTTGCCATGCATCGCCAGGAAACATTAGTTAAAGTTTGATTGGAAGTCCTAAAATAGTCGTAACTGGTAATCCTAGAAAGATTATAACTGATAGCGATAGAATGATTATAACTGGTAGTGTTAGAATAATAATGACTGGAAGTACTAAACTAGTTACAACTAGTGATGCAATAATAATAATAATAATAATAATAATAATAATAATAATAATAATAACATATTTATTTTCTACAAGTATATGTACAAGGTATATAGTCCTAGTTAACATCAATGACATATTACTGTAAAGAAAGCCCCTTGTTATGCAGAGCATTCCGGGCAAATTAGTTCAGTTTTGTCCCAGGATGCGACCCACACCAGTCAACTAACACCCAGGTACCCATTTTACTGATGGACGAACAGGGACAGCAGGTGTCTTATGGAAACACGTTCTAAAATTTTCCAGCAGTACCGGAGAGTCGATCTCCGGACCTCAGTATGTAAAATGAGTGAGCTAGCGATCAACCTACGGAAAATTATGAGTGGTGATGCTTGAATAGTTATGACTGGTAGTGTTACAACAGTTATGACTAGTAGTGCTAGAATAGTTATGACTGGTAGTACTAGAATAGTTATAACTGGTAGTGCTAGAATAGTTATGACTGGTAGTGCTAGAATAGTTATAACTGGTAGTATTAGAATAGTTAAAACCGTTTGTGCTAGAATAGTTATGACTGGTAGTACTAGAATAGTTACGACTGGGAGTGCTACAATAGTTATGACTGGTAGTACTAGAATAGTTACAACTGGGAGTGCTACAATAGTTATGACGGGTAGTGCATGAATAGTTAGGCCTGGCAGTGCTAGAAGAGTTATGTATGGTAGTCCTAGAACATTTATGACTAGTAGTGTTAGAATAGTTACGACTGGTAGTGCTATAATATTTATGACTCGTAGTACTAGAATAGCTAAAACTAGTAGTGATAGAATAGTTATGACTGATAGTGCTGTAATAGTTATTACTGGTAGTGCAAAAATAGTTATGACTGGTAGTGCATGAATTGTTATGACTGGTATTGCTCAAGTAGTTTTGACTGGTAGTGCTTGAATAGTTATGAGTGGTCATACTAGAATAGTTATGACTGGTAGTACTAGAATACTTATGACTAGTAGTGCTGAAATAGTAATGACTGGTAGTGCTAAAGTAGTTCGACTGGTAGTACTTGAATAGTTATGAGTGATCGTACTAGAATAGTTATGACTGGTGTTACTAGCATACTTATGACTGGTAGTACTAGAATGGTTATTATATTAGTACTAGAATCGTTATGACTGGTAGTGCTAAAATTGTTATATCTGAAAGTGCTAGAATAGTTATGACTGGTAGTACTTGAATAGTTATAACTGTTAGTACTAGTAGTCATGACTGGTAGTACTAGAATTGTTGTGAGAGATAGTACTAGATTGGTTATGACTGGTAGTACTAAAATGGTTATGAATGATGGTAAAAACATGGGTGACTGGTGTTGCAAGGATGGGTGACTGGTTGGTGCAAGATGGGTGACTGGTGGTGCAAGGATGGGTGACTGGTGGTGCAAGGATGGGTGACTGGTGGTGAAAGGATGGGTGACTGGTTGGTGCAAGGATGGGTGACTGGTGGTGCAAGGATGGGTGACTGGTTGGTGCAAGGATGGGTGACTGGTGGTGCAAGGATGGGTGACTGGTTGGTGCAAGGATGGGTGACTGGTGGTGCAAGGATGGGTGACTGGTGGTGCAAGGATGGGTGACTGGTGGTGCAAGGATGGGTGACTGGTGGTGCAAGGATGGGTGACTGGTGGTGCAAGGATGGGTGACTGGTGGTGCAAGGATGGGTGACTGGTGGTGCAAGGATTGGTGACTGGTGTTGCAAGGATGGGTGACTGATGTTGGAAGGATGGGTGACTGGTGCAACAAGGATGAGTGATTGGTATTGGAAGGATGGGTGACTGGTGGAGCAGGGATGGGTGACTGGTGGTACAAAGATGGGTGACTGCTGGTGCAATAATGAATGACTTGTGTTGCAAGGATGGGTGACTGGTGGTGCAGGAATGGGTGACTGGTGGTACAAGAATGGGTGACTGGTGGTGCAGGGATGAATAACTTGTCGTACAAGGATGGGTGACTGGTCGTTCAATGAAGGGTGACTGGTGGTGCAAGGATGGGTGACTGGTGGTGCAAGGATGGGTGACTGGTTGTGCAAGAATCGATGACTGGTGGTGCAAGTATGGGTAACTGGTGGTACAATGATGGGTGACTGGTGGTGCGACAGTAAGCAGGACAGAAGATAGTACCGCCCACTCTGGCTCAGACTATATAAGCATGTACAAGTAACTCCTCTCCCGCACTTGTTGCTTCTGTTTGACGACACGACACAACAATGAAGATTGTCTTCACTCTCTTGTTTGGGGTGGCTTCTCTCACCGCCTCACCTACTACATATCATGGGTAAGTCATCATCATTCATTGGTAAGTCATCATCATTCATGGGTAAGTCATCATCATTCATGGGGAAGTCATCATCATTCATTGGTAAGTCATCTCCAGCAATTGGTTAAAGTTACTATTCTCCAACAAATGGTTAATGAAGTATGTGCCATCACCATCTATAGTTAGTCTTTCCTATTTATGGTATAATCATTATTAGCCATGACTAAGTCAACGTCAGTAATATTTTAGTCATTCTGGCGTGAGTCAAGTATTTTACATTTTATTTGACTTTCGTCACACAACCATTTGGCATTTCCTCTGAACTAGTGAAATATCAGTTAAGAGTGTAGCAGTTCTGGGGCCCCCAGCACTACTTCAGCCAAGGTGACGTCACAATTGGCTGGGTGGCAGACGTCCACAGACACACGTCGTTTCTACTCATTCCAAGAGTGGCTCTTTGTTGCACTATTGCATAATATTATATCTTTATATATTAATATTGTAAAGAAGTATTGAAGGAATTCATGTCTAAAGAAATCTACCTCTGCTGTGTCTGCCTTGTTCCTGCTCTGGCCTGCTGATTGCCTTGTTTTGTTGACTTAGTTTTACGATCAGGTGCTACAGGCCTTTAATGTACCCCTTGTCTTCGTAATAGTCAACACTGTTTATACGTAAATCATAACCATGCATCAGCAAGTCATCACCAGTCAGAGGTAGCCTATCTAGCCCAACCTAACCTAACTTACCTAACTTACCTAACCTAACTTACCTAACTTACCTAACCTAACTTACCTAACTAACCTAACTTACAAATGGGCTGCAAACCCTGTATGAAAGTGACATTGTTATTTAGGCGGATTAAAACAAAATAGTCTACTTTTTTCAATGCTATCTATTCCACGGGGAAAATTGTTAAATGTTATTTACTTAATTTATTTTAAGAAAGTTTTTCAATAAAAACAGTCATACTCTTGACAAATAAGAAAAAAAAAAACTGTATTTTGATAAGTAAATTTAATAAAGCAATCCAACCTAACCAAACCTAACCGAGACCAATAAGTGGAGTAGTATCACTGAGGCGAACACTTACGGTAGTTTAATTACAAATATGTTAAGTAAGTCTCCACAAGTCATGAAGCCTTTATCAGTCAGAGGTAAGTTATTATCAATTGTGATTAAGTCATAAATAGATAAATTACCTCCGGTCCTCAGTAAATCATCATCAATTATGCCTTTGCCATCAACAGTCATGGGTGAGTCATTATCCGTCAAGGGTAAGTAACTACATGTCATGGGTAAGAAATCACTAGCCACGGGTAAGTCATCATCAATCACTGGTAAGTCATTATCATTCACGAGTAAGTCATCTTCCGCAACAAGGAAGTCATAACCAGAGTGGGGTAAATTATCACCAGTCTGGGATTATCCCCCAACAGTCATGACCAGTCAAGACATCACTGTTACTTTGTGGTGACAATAGTGGAAGAAATCGTAGCAGTATAATTAGTTGTGTCTGTTAAACTTCTATAAACATTTTTCATTGATGGTCCAGTGGGATATTTGTGGTGCGTCTTCTATCACTGATCCTGGCAAAGTTGTTAGTTAGAGGGAAAGGAGAGTGAAAAGAGTCTTAGACTTTTTCTTCTTCCCGTAGCAACATCATAGGTGAAGATTCACCTGCAGACAGCATGGGAAAAGAAAAGGTGTTTCTATATCTGTTTTTCCCAAGTACTTTGATACTGATAAAATAGTGCGTACGTAAGTCTTAATAAGTGTGCGTTATCAACACTGGTACTGAGATAATAGTGCGCCTGAGTTTCTCTGTCTCTAATATCATGTTTATTTTTCGCCTATAATCTAACTTGTCCATAATTACTATCGTATTTCCTTTGTCTGCTTTCGTAAGGTGAAGTCTATAATCTTTCATTAATACATGGAAAGAATTAAGGAGACAATGCAAGTAGACAATGCAAATGTGATAGTAATTATAGACAAAGTAGATTATAGGGGAAAATAACGTATTATTAGAAGACAGGGGGACTGACGTGCCCCTTAACTATACATCATTCACTCTGTCATAGTTACTGTACAATATACACTCATTATGTGATCATCTGTCAGACATAGTGTGTTAACACGTTCATCTATTACATACGATGAGGGTTCATATGTTCCTCTTCCAGATATTCTCATTGTTCATGTGTTCATCTTTAAGGTATACTTAATAATTATGAGTAAGTCATATAACATGTACAAAAGTACACAAAACAGATAGTACAACATATTTACTTACGTGTGAAGGAGAGAGAGCATTACTATATTCACTTCCGAGTGAAGGAGAGAGAGAGAGACAGAGAGAGAGAGAGAGAGAGAGAGAGAGAGAGAGAGAGAGAGAGAGAGAGAGAGAGAGAGTTTATGTATTCATTCGACAGAGAGCATTAGAATATTTACTCCAGAAGTTTCTGAGTGGAAGAGAAGGCTTTAATATATTCACTAGGATAGTTTCCGAGAGAAGAGCGAGCATTTGTATATTCGCTCAGACAGATTCTGAGTGAAGGAGTGAGAAAGCTATTACTTTCTCTCAGGTAGTTTCTAAATGTATGCTGGCCTCATCGTATGAAGTTGTCATAATACAAAAGCTGCAACAAGTCGAACTGTTTCCTGTGAATAAGTTCTCCACGGTGTACTGTTGTGTCTGCACACAATGTAGTAACAGTCAGTATGAACACAGAAACATGTTATTAATAAGCCTAAAAGTTAGTTGGATAGATGATTTGTAGTGGGATATACTTTGCGAATCACTATTTGAAAAAAAATCATTATGGAGCCTATATAGATTGTAGATTAATATAAATTTCATCATCTAGTGACCTATTATTACTATATTATTACTATATGATAACAACTCGGCTAAACACAAAAGTATTTCACTCCACTCGGCTGAAATCATTGGTTAATTATTTTCAACCTATTTTAGTGCTTTAGACAATATTAAAATATTTTGTCTGACTGAAAATTATATTATTATCATATTATCATGACTTTTTCCTTACAAAGGTAAATATCTTTTTTTTTTTTTTTTAACGATTAATACAGGAAGACATAAGCAGGGTTTTCCAGTGGGCAGTGGAGAACATGACGTTTAATGGTGATAAGTTCCAGCTGCTTGCGTATGGAAAGAATGAAGAACTCAAAAGGAACAAAACTCAAGAGGGTCACCAAACATAACGTGAGGAACACGTAAAAGACCTGAGAATAATTATGTCAGCGGACCTCTCTTTTGAAGACCATAACAAGACGAAGATCACAACAGCCAGGACGATGACGGGGTGGGTATTGAGAACCTTCAAAACAATGGAAATATTGCCGATGGTGACACTTCAAATCGATGAAATTGAGACACATGTGCAACATCTGGATATCTTTATTGTAGACGTTTCGCCATCCAGTGGCTTTATCAATACAAATTCCATGACATAACTTGAAGACAGGAGAACTATGTACAGAAGATGAGGTAATCAGTCCCTCAACCTAGCAGTAGGAGCGAAGAGCACCGTAGCCGTGGAGATTCTGAAGCAGAAGCAAGGCACCTGACGCTTATATAGTAACGTCAGGTGGAAATGGGACGGGTAGCAGACGAGGGCATAGTCATTGGTAGGCGGGATTCCCCAGTGGAAGTAGGTCCTACCCAAAGAGATGGGTTAGTTGTAGTAGTAGTTGTCGTAGTTGTGAAGGTTATGTACATGTCCTCAGAATCAAGATTCCATGATGTTGCAGTGTCTGACAGGTTGTACAACCTGTCAGACACTGCAACATCATGGAATCTTGTGTGAAACAGACTATCGGATCCAAGCCAAAGTTTCTGTGGGTCTTTTCTCTGCTTAATACACTGTTGGTATTTTTTCACTGTTGCAGTATTTATAAACATGGCAATTACTAGTCTTACAAATAGATGCCACTTTTACTGTCTATCAACCAAGACTAATTTTTTTTATTCTCATAAGAAGGTATTCACATATTTCAAATCCCAAGGCAGAATGTAAATTCTGTTAGAAGTTTTAACTAATCACATGCATAAAACCGAACAGTTCCTCAATAATTTCCTGTACATCGTCAACAAAGTCTGCAAGCAAGAAAATTAATATGTTAAACTAACTGTATAATCTAAGACGATTGTTATTGAATGATGATCACTGACACACACAAAGTGGAAATCTTAATCAATGTTTATGCTACAAATATTGCATAAGAACAGAAAGAGAAAGGAACACTGGCATTCTTACTAGCCCATGTTAGGCAGATCCAGTTCACACACACCTGCGCCCACTCATGTACCCGTCCATCTTATATTTAAACCTACACAAAGTTCTTGGCACAGTGACGCTACCTGGGAGTTTGTTCCACTACTCGCCTATATGTACTTACCTTTATGTGGTTACTGGGTTGAGTCACAGCTCAACTCTCTCGGCTACAAGAAAATTGTCGTATTTCTTCTTAAAACATACAGGGCTTCTACCAATTAACACTCCAGAATGTTTCACTTCCTGAAAGCTCTAAGGCTGAAGAAATGTTGCAGAGGTCGAGTCACAGCTCGTGGCCCAGCCTCTTCGCTGGTCGAACTAGGCGAGATGGGACACACAGATGACAGCCAAGAAATGAGTGAGATACTAAAGTCACAGTACAACTCAGTGTTTAGCTAGCCGCTACTCAGATATTCCAAATGAATTCTTTATGAACGAGACCCCAGATATGGTCATCTCGAAAATCTCGGATATTATCCTAACAATACAAGACTGCCTCGGGCCCAGACGCATGGAACTCCGAGTTCATCAAGAACTGCAAGAAGTCCCTGTCACGTGCCCCACTCTACAAAGGTGGGAGTAAAGCAATTAATTGCAAAGAACTACAGACCGATAGCACTAACATCCCATATCTTTGTAAGGATTCTAAGAAGCAAGGTCGCCAGCCAATTAAATACCCATCATTTACACAAACAGGGCAACACGGGTTTAGAGCAG